GAGGGAGGTGAGGGTGAGAGAGGGGGGTGATGCTGAGGGATGGGTGTGATGTTGAGGGAGGGAGGTTGATGGTAATTAGGCCTTGAAAGAAGAAACACACTTCTTCTGTGGTCCCTGTAACCAATTTGAACTTTTTTTATGGTAGTTTTTTTTAATATATTTATATATATTTTATTTATGTAGTTTTTATATATACCATATACTTACCTTACCATTCATTTACCTTCATCTTGCTTGCTAGTACCTGCAATATCCTAAAATGGGGATTATACAGCCAAGGCTTACACCACTAAAGGAAGTCCTGCTCTGGGAATTGTAAATTCAAATCTTTTTTATATTTGTATCTATACATACTTACTTCACCATTGCAGTATCTTTTGCTTCTGTTTCCACATACTGTACTGGCATTGCCTAATCTGGAGAACTTCTGTCATCTGACCTACATAGATCCTTAAATGGGGATTATACCATCCGTGAGCAATTCAGCAGAGGTCTAAGTTAGCTATGAAAAATGTAAGTGAATTTTCCGCATTATTCTTATTAATTTTATTCATTGTTAAACTATATTTCACTATTATTTGTCTTGTCCTGTTCTTTATTGAGGTTACTTAATTGGAATACCCGGAGAGGTTCATGTATGTACTATTTGCACTTTGAGTGTATCTTTGTGGTACGGAGTATCCTTTCCTTTCTGGTTATGCTTGTATAGAAGTATCCTTTCCTTTCTGGTTATGCTTGTATAGAAGCTGAGAGGAAAAGAAAGACCAAATGGCATACAAGTAAATTACTTTTTCCTGTTTTTCCATATATGTATCGGGAATGAAAGATGCACATTTTTTAGATCTGTTTTTATCACCCAATCATTGTAAATTAATTGGTCTCGAAATAAATTAATTCCTTCCATTTTGAAAGGATGATACTTTACATAGCTGTTTAGAAAACGTAGATTGATGACAGGTCTGTGACCTGAACCACTTTTCTTTACCAGAAACAGTTTGCTTATAAATCCTGGGGATAGGAAAGGCACTTGTATTATAGCCACTTTTGAAATTAAATCTGACATCTCCTGTTGAACTAGAAGTTCGTCATGGGAGGAGAACTGAATCAGAAATGGAATTTTAAAACTCTATTTTGTATCCTCTGACAGTGTCTAGTATCCAGGTATCGTTTGTGATGAGTCCATGTATGGCATTTTTTTTTTTTTTTAAATCTTCCACCAAGCCCTACTAGGAAAGAAGGGTGTATTAGAGTACTTACTTGATGCAGTCTGTGGTCTAGGAGTTATGAGTAGATTTCTAATATGGTTAAAAAATTAACAGATTTCACTAATTACATGATGTAAAGTCATTATTTTATTAAGGATACGGAGCCGAGTATTAGGCTTATCCTTTCTTTATTCCTCAGCAGCAAAGAAAGGATATTAATATAGAAAAAAGAAAACAAATACCTTTAAGGGTTAACCATTTAACATTCAACCAATGGTATCATTCCTTGTTCTATGTCCTCTCATGTGACCTAAGCCACTCCCTCTTTCTAGCTGATGCCAAAGCCAAAATATCAACAGGAAATGATGAACGTGAACAATCGCAGGCAGAGGGTTCTAGTGAGTATCCTCCGTTGTATTCGAGAGGAGAACAATTTGATCCAGAATAATCCATTATAGGGTTTAAGCTGTAGGAGACAGAGAAACATGGTAAAATATGTTCAAATATTGCTGTCATACATATGAACTGTAACAGTTTTAAAAGTTTATATCATAGAACATATCCCCATTGATCCAGCAAAGAAAAACCAAATCATTATAAGTATTCGCCAACTCACATCAAAACCATACCTGTCATTGAAATTGGGTGGGAAGACAAAGCGTACGACTGTCATTGGGTGGGCTAATACTCGCCTCCGTGTTCTTAATAAAATCATGACTTTACGTCATGTAATTAGTAAAATCTGGTAATTTTATTAAAGGACACGGAGGCTCATATTAGGCTAGTTTAAAGCTGTGAGACGACCATAGACAAGATATGTTCTGCTGGACGAAAATAGTACTCTTTGAACGTCGATTCTCGAGACCAAACGGCTGTGCGGAGGTCTTTCAATTTACAACCAATTGAGAATGCTTTAGAGGCCATAGTGCCTCTGGTAGAATGAGCTTAGTAAACTGATGTGTCGATGTTAGCAGCTGACATTATCCATTTCACCCAGCGTGCCAGTTACCGTGGATACTGGGTGATAAGGTTTCATCACCGCCAAGAACAGGTCATTTGTTGTTATATTCCTGAATGACTGGGTCCGAAGATCGTACTCCTAGAGGCATGCTACTGGGCAGAGGTTAGCATTGGGCGGAAAAGAGGGGTAGAAGACTGAATTTTGCGGACACTTGTTTGAGTGTAAGGTCCGAGTTCGTAGGCCAATCTTCCAATAGACGAAGAACCAGATTAACATCCCATAAAGCCGTGTATCGGGGTTGTGGTGGACGTGCAAAATTAATGCCTCGTAGAAGACGTAAACCAACAAGTGTTTCCCAGCCGGGAAGCCATACAATCCGCTGTGGCCAGCTGAAATCGCTGATCAACCTTGGTCATACAGGGCGGTAAGGAAGCCCAAGATGTGGTTTATAGGAGCACGTAGGGGATCCACATGAGTATAGGATCGTCTTGTTCCTGGGGCCCAAGCTCCTGCCAATAAGTCCAGAGTTGCTTGTGAAACTTTGGCATGACCCAGGGTCCCCAGAGAGGAGCCACGCCAGAGGTCTGAGGTGTCCCTGCACCAGAAGTGGGTAAGAGTTTCCATCGGGATCTCATAATAGATCCGTGGATCCTGGGGAAAATCGATAGACATTTCCATGTGCCATCCAGAACGGTGGTGTTAAAAACAGCGACGCTCTGGAGCGTTGTAGATGTAAGAGAGTTCGAGCTATTAGGGAGAAGGGAGGAAAAGCATTTGTAGGAAGGCGTCCACCGCCATGGCGTCTGGGTCCAGTGCGCTGTTGTCCTGTAGATGCCTGGATAATCCTGGAAGGTATTCCGCTTGTACAGATATGTTGCGGCTCAGGCAGAAATGCCAAAATTATTTTGCCAGGTTCATGAGTATCGTGGATCTCGTGCCACCCAAGTGGTTGATATAGCGAACGGCCGAGATATTGTCCATACGCAGTAGTGTGGAACAATTGGTTGGGTCTCCGAGGAGGCTCCGAAGGGCGAATGACCCTGCTAAGAGTTCCAAGCCATTGATGTGGAGCTCCTTTTCCTGTGAGGACTATTTTCCACCTGTAGAGGTGTCTGCTCGCATCGGATTCTATGATGAGATCTGGGGTGGTTCCGAAGATTGCCCTGCCATTCCATGCTTCCATGTGTTGAAGCCACCATGCATGTTCCTTTTTTTGCTGTGCAGTCTACAGAATCTGAGTAAGACTGACCCAAGCGTAAGTGTGTGGCCTTGAATTTTAGCAGGGCTCTGTAGTGGAGGGGTCCTGGGAAAATCACTTGTATGGAGGCAGAGAAAAGGCCAATTATCCTCGTTAGTTGTCACAGGGTTAAGACCGGTTGTGCCAGTGTCCGCCGGATTTCCTTCTTGATGAGTTTTACCTTCGTGGTAGGTAAACTGAGCGTTCTGTGAATTGCATCTATATTGAACCCCAAGAATTCTATCGAATGGGAAGGATGCAAGATTGACTTGTCCCAGTTGATTAGTCGAGTTTTACCATCCAGTCTCCCAGTCTTAGAAGATCCCGGAGGCAGTGTATCCCTTCCATCTTGAAATGATTGAGAGGTCGTAGGTTGATTACTGGTCTCGTACCCCCACCTTTCTTGGGTACCAAGAAAATGTTGCTTAGGAAGCCAGGGGCGGTAGCTGAAACCTTGTAGATTGCACCTTTCTCTTTTAATGTGCGAGTCTCTTCTGCTACTAGACTTTTGTCTCGGGGGAAAACACAATCCGATGTGGCAATGAGAATTGAATCGGTTGTTGTACGAATTTGATGTGGTAGCCTAGAACGGTCTCTAGGACCCAGACATCTGAAGTTAGTGCATCGAGAAAATGGGACAATCTGCCCCCACACATGATAGAGAAAGGGTGTGTAATGGAAAATGACTTAACATAAGGCCGACGGCCATAGGAGGATCCCCTGGTTCCACGCGGGTGCCACGACCTGCCCCTGGTCAGGAAGAATGGTGACGGTACTCTGGATTCCGGAGGTTGGAACCTCGTTGTGGCCCCGGTATGAAGTCTGGGAGGAGCGGCCGGACAGACGGCCCCGCTGTCTGCCGACCCCACCGAAAACCTTCTGTGAGAACTTTCGCTTCATACTCTTTTGTGCCTTGTCTAGTGCCGTAAAGGTGTTGACATATTTGCCCAGGGTTTTAACGAAGTCGTCTCTGAACAGGAGACCTTTTGCCTGTGTGCCAGGCTCAGATATTGCCAGGTTTATTAGTTTAGGCTCAATTTTCATCAATATGGCTTTACGCCGTTTGGTGGCCAAAGCTGTGTTGGCATTTCCAATCAGGCATATGCCTCTCTGGATCCATCCCCTGATGGCCAATAAATCTATTGGGGTCCCCTCAGTTAGGGCTGTTTCAACCATGCTTTAGGCCCGAGTATGTCCAGGACCTTGTCCTGGCAATGTCTTAGGGAATAATCCAGCCCCTTTTTGGCTTTCCATCCCGATTCACCCAGAAACTGGGCCATGTCTGGGACCACAGGGCGTGGATCCGCCTCTTGCTCAGCCTCTACAGCTGGCGGTGCAGTCTTGCTTTTGCTCGGGGGAAGAGTCCTCCAAATAAACTGGGTCGATGGCATCGGACCCGCCTGAAACCTCCTCCGAGTCAGAGTCGGACGAATCAGGTAGGGCTTTTGTCCACTTCCAAGTCCGGGGGGGGGGCTCTTTTACGTGGGAGTACCACGTCCTCAGTCTTAACAGGGCGCAACCTGTCCGTCACACTAGTTTTCGAGGCAGTACTTATTAAATGGTGCAATTTACTCGTAGCCTTGCGGCCGCTAGGGACCTTCAGCTTGCTATCAGAGGCCATAGGGGGTGTTGAGCCGGAGGCTTGGCCAGATGCCATGATAGCGGAAGAGATGGAGTGGGACAAGGTGTCCGACATCACTCCCACGGCATTGTAAATGGCCGGTGTAACAGACTTGCTCATGGTCGCATCCAGGAGCGAGTGGAGTTCATGTGGTCCTGGGATGCCTCCTCTATGCCACCAGGGGCGGTAGTGCCTGCAGACACAACAGTTGTGCAGTGTCTGCTGGGCTTAGTAGAGGTGTTCGGAGCAGTAGCCTTTCTGTCAGAAGGGGATTGCATAGTGGCTAGGCACTGTGTATACAGGGACAATACCAGATGAAAAATGGCACAAGTCAGTATGGCACCAAAATATATGGCACAGGTCAAAATGGCACCACTTAATGCGGTATATATCAATATGGCACGGTTTAATATGGCCAAAATCAAAGTGGTACAAGGTACAGAGCATAAAGGCACAAATAATATGGCAGCTTACCGAGTGTTCCCTCAGTAATGGCTTCTGGGGAACACTGGTAGACTGCCTGACACCCCAACCAGCCAGGTTACATATGTTAGAATGTTAAATGGTTAACCCTTAAGGGTATTTGTTTTCTTTTTTCTATATTAATATCCTTTTTTTGCTGTTGAGGAATAAAGAAAGAGATAGAAACATAGAAAGTGACGGCAGATAAGAACCATTCGGCCCATCTAGTCTGCCCAATATGAGCCTAATATGAGCCTCCGTGTCCTTTAATAAAATTATAAGGTGTCCCGTTGGAGGTGACCACAGGAAAGCATGTCTTTTTCTGTCCAACAGATTTCTATAGTTCAGTGAGGATATATAACTGGTGGTAAATACAAATTTAACATTACTAAAAATTTTGTCACTCTTTATTTTTTTTTTTTTTTAGACATTGTGCATTTCAGTACAGAACTTTTTTTGGGGGGTGAAATAAACAGGCTAAACATGTAGGTTACGTTAAAAGACAAGCTGAGTGTATCTATCTAGGTTCAAATCAGCAGCTAATGCACAAGATTAAATCTTGCTAGTCAGGCGATTATTAACGGTCAAACCCAACAAGTGCTGGTTAAACTAGACTGCCTAGGCAGAAATTAGCATCGAAGCTAAGCATTAGAAGGGGTCTGTCTAAGCATGTAACAACTGTTGTATTGTTAAGATAACCCACAAGATGGGAACCACTGGACTCTAAAGACTTTTGCTACTGTTCTGTAGTGAGCTTAACATAAAAGAAATAGGTGGTTTCATACAACAAATAATACGACGGCTGCTACTGGCAGTATGGGAGCACACAACATCAGCAGAGCGGCAGCAGAAGTAGATAGGAAAGTCCACCGTTAGTCAATTCCTGCCGTCGGGAAATGCTTGGGACCGTCAAAGAGATCTTCGGATGCAACTGCGTAGTGGGGGTAGGGTGAGTCGGATCCTCTGCCCCAGGTTTGTACCCAAGCTTGCATCCTCAAGCCACAAACTCAGAGTCTTCATAGGGCCAAGTCCATCCCAAATATAGAGTAGCAGGAAACTTTGGTATTGATAGCCCCCCACCTGTGTGGATGATGCTTTGGGGTCAGGGGCACTGCACCCTCTACTCTTCTCACCTTTTAGATCTTGCTCTTGAGGCTGGCAAGGTGGTGCTTCTGTTTTTGCTTCCAACATTGCCCAGAAGCGTACAAATATCGCCTCCAGCTTTAGCAGTGTGTGCTCAATAGAGCCATGCTGGTTGTGCGTCAATCTTTACCGATGAGTACAGGAATAAGACATCTTGGCTAGATCCGGCACACAAGAGAGGCAGTCAAGAGCAGCTATTATTTAATGGAGGAGTTGAGTATGGTGGTCCATTGGGGACCGGGATGACCTCATCAGGTCAAAAGGGGGGAAACTGAGCAACAAGAATGTTATGCGGAGATGCTGCATTTTATGGAGCAGGAGAGCCTCTCCCGCCCAATGCTTTCACAAGGCCCTGCCTGATGAGGGCAATAAAACTGGCGGCTGGCAGCTCAGGGACCCAGCCCAAGGTACACTGCTTGCCTCTGAGATAAGGTAAGTCCCAGTAGGTGCTGTAAGAATGTGCCGGACGTTAGGATTGTGCTATATATTTTGAGATTTTAGAGGAGCACAAACACAATGCGTCCGATTGCCATGCTGACCAGACTCCGCCCCCCCATTACTAACAAACATTTTTGTATTTATTTTCTTCCACTGGCATTGGTAATAAATGAATTCACTTACTGATAGTGAAGTTCCATTCTTCTGAACTGTTATGGCTCATGAATCATCACACATTCAGTTTTTTTCCTTTTAAACTAAAGTGGGTGTTTAAAAAGTTATCAAGGCTTTAAAAAAAAAAAAAAAAAACATTAACTTCCCTCTTTTTTATATTGAGTTATGTAATAGGATTTATTACAAGTTGAGTATTTAGGAGATGATGAACAAGTCAGTGATAAACAGATTAAGTATGCTTTTGAAGGTAACTAATGTAGAAAGACACAATGGGTCACATGTACTCAACAGCCTTGTCTTGTCTTGTGTAGGTGATCAGAATCACTTTATTATACAGTTTCACATAGTAACTAAAAGAGATACAAATAAAAACAAATAGATGTACATTCTTAGTAAATGGGTGAAAATGTTTTACCTTGATTGCTAATGCAGTGCTCTCAATTCTCAATCCAGTATGACACCACTTAGGACAGTGCTCCCTCTAGTGGTAAAGTTAAACACACCAAAGACAGTTGCATGACCTTGTTATCAAAGAATGCTCAATAACGTTTGTTTTCCCATGCTCGCCATACTGGTTAAAAGGAGTAGTGTTAGTTCTTCTTTAAGAGTTTGAATTCAAAATAATTGCATAATTTCAGAAGGGAAGTCCCATGTATGATTTACATCGCATGTAAATCGAAGAAGAAAACAAAAACCTTATAGTACTAATTAAAAGCTCTGAGAAACTAGACCACCATGGAAGAATACAAGCAATACTCCCGAAAGCTTAACACTAAATGATCTGGTTGGGAAATTAATCATGCTACAAGACATTACACACAGAGCAGGTCCCTTCCCAGACTGCATTGTGGAAGCAGTGCTGGGAGGATATGTGAGCGTTCCAATAAAACAAATTAGATATAATGTAACACACCACTCCAGCAATGGAAAAAAACAGATACAATATATTCGTTGAAGGCTAGGTCGTCTGGTCTGCTCACACAGGAGAGCTACTGTAGCTAAATTGCTGAAAAACTTAATGCTGGCCTTGATTGAAAGGTGTCAGAATACATAGTGCATTGCAGTTAGCTGCGTAGCTACAGACCAGAGTGCCCATCAATTCCCCTGTGGGAACGGGCAATGGCCGCACGTGCACGCACATCAGACCTTCCCATAGGAAAGCATAGCATAGCGTAAGGACGTCCAGCGTCATTTCAAACACTTTTTCGTGTTTTAAGAACCTGGAAGTCCCTCTAGTGACGGTCTGGACTTTATAAAAACTGCAATAATTACCCGTGCAGGGTTAAGAGTGATGGGAGTTGGCACCTAGACCACTCAAATGGGCAGAAGTGGTCTGAGTGCCTGGAGTGTCCCTTTACCATTTTGCAGCTGGAGAGTGGCTTGCCTAAGATCCAGTGGAGCTACAAGCTCCCCTTCTAACTCTAAACAAAGTATTCACTGTAACCCGCTGATGGTGGCCCTGGGTGAGATGAGAGTTGTGAGGCTTGTAAGATTGACAAATAGATTGGGTTAAGAAATGGAAAAGAGAATAGCAGTGCAGGCTAGGCAACCTTCAGCACTTCAGATGCTGTTGACTAAATCTCCACTGATGCTTTACAAGCATTATGACTGTAAAAGCATAACAGAATTCTTAGTCCACAACATCTGGGGTGCTGAAGGTTGTGTACTCCTTACATGGGGTATGTAAAAGCTTAAAAATTGTCCCTTGAGTACTACTTTCTCCAAACACAAGACACTTGGGAGATCTCCCACACTCATTATTCATCTCCAGTGGTGTTGAATACACTGTTAAACCCAAATGTAGACACCTTGAACCAATAAAGAGCACAATAGTCCACCATTATTTTGATGTTGAACTTACTTGAACTAAAGGCACTTCTCATATAATGGCATCAGTGTGAGGATCTGGCCTGTGACCTCACAACTGCATAGATGCCAATAACCAAGTTTATAATCACTCACTATTTACCTCTCTGATTGTTATACTATTTGCCAAAATTTTACCTACAAGTCAAACTGAAAAGGAGTGCTGAAATAAATCACAGAATGTATTCTACTGCAAATTACCTGCCACGATACGCGACTCAAAACAGCATTCAGATACATCTTGAATGGATTTTGCATTTTTCCTGCAACTTTCAAAAAGCACATTTGCATCATGGTACATTGAGACATGCTATTTGGATTTTTCTGGAGGGAATTCTGGCACCGGTCAGAATCCCAGAATGTTCTTTTATAATTCCCAGTCATAGTGCTGAGACAGATGTTCTATGACTATCAGATTAATGTATGAACGCATTACCTGGTGTAAAATTAGATGCCAACCTTTCAGCTTCTATCTGTACCTATACAAACACTAGTCCTGCAGTCCTAGGCCCTATCCTAGTCTTCTGCATTAGAGAATGTGTTTATACAGTGTTCTGGTTATTCTGATTTTAATTTGGCTTGTTCCCGGCTATTCAGCCATCAGTGGTCTTTTGATCTTTTGCTTGTTTTATCATTTTGTAGTCTCTCTCTAATTCTTTATCATCAGTCAGTTTTTGAGTCTACAGCAGTTAAATGGTGACTTCTGGTCCCTCCTAAAGACTGGTAATACGCAGTTATCCTGTTTATTAGTTTCCAAGTACTATTTTGACCAACTTGTAGCTTTGGGTATCTTACCTTTACATTACCATGTACTTACCCTTTCTGTAGACTATTACTAGAAAAAGAAAATACAATAAAAGACCACCTAAACCAAGAGACTTTAAATGTGCAGAATTTTATTCCAAGAATAGAAAAATATGTAAATCTCTGAAAGGATGACAACATTTAAATAATTATAAATAAAATGCTAGAGAAACACATTTGAAGATTTTAGAAAAAGTGTTAGTCTAATTGTAAATTTGATTTTTTTTTTTTTTTTTTAACCTTTCTAGCTTCATTCTGAAACTTCCATTGTCTTTCTGTGATGAATAATTAAGCAATTTTGGTTGGTGGTGAGGTTTATCAAAGAGTGCACTGAAATTAAGTCACGCAATAAAAACACCATATTTTAAGTCATGGAGTGAATGCAGACTTTGGAACAGCAAACATTTCTTAATTGTGGTTCGTGAAGTAATTTCCCTTTTGGAACAATGCCTGTTTGTGTGCGCTTCTTAATACAGGTTTATTTCTTGTAATGCCTAAAATCCCCTTAGTTCTTCCTGTTGTACAACAGATGGGGGATTTCTCTTTTTGTGGTTGTCCACATTGCAGTGTATTGGGCTGAAGAACAAATATATGACAGATCATTCTTGCAGAAAAAAAATAAAATATTTGTATGATCAGAGCATAAACGATTTAATTTCTCATAGTCCAAAAAAAAAAAAAAAAAACAAAGTTCTTGATTGCAGTATTTGGATTTCCCTTTTACATAAGCCAACTGCAATATACGTTGCTACTGACACCGCAATTAGTGGGTTTTATCACAATCATATTGGTCTAGCATATTTAACAAGAGGAGTAAGTGGCTTGTGGAATGTTCGATGGCCAGGTCTGCTGCAGCCGCCCACCAAGGCTTGTAAACGAGTGTATTTGCAAATGAACATGCCAGAATAGGCAAGTGCTCTTTTCATCAAGGATTTGACCCGTGTTCTTCATTACCACTCTGTAACAAAAATGTGTGCTTCTTAAATGGAACATAACTGGTAGACCATAGATTAATCAAGCAAATCATGTTCCCGATTATCTTATTCAAAGAGAAAATAAAATTTGCTGTTGCTGCAAAGCCCAACTCAATACGTGCACATCGGAGAAGCAACAAGGAGTAATTGGAACGTTAAAAATGCAAAGTATCCTACAAAAAGTACAACCGCATACCAATCTTCAGTTTTAAAACTGGTAAAAATAAATAAATAAATGCTTAGCAGAATGATCAGTTGAATGATGGGAACGTTCGAGTAGCACAATGTAAATAATTCTTTTTTACTGCACAATTGAAAGTTGGGTCAAATTAGGTTTTAAAGTCTACTTTGGTGTCAATAGCATATAATATGTAAAAGTTTGAACTTTATTATTCTTGTGTGTATTCAATGTAGACTTTTTTTTAATTATTATTATATGTAGACTGTCAACATATTAAGCAGTTTTGCTTCAGCAAAAAGGAAGGAGTGACCTGGGCTGGTGTAACCTGTGTTGTTTTAAACATCTACTGTAAGTGAATAGATTCTATAATGCAGAGCTAGCCCAGTGAGAGCTGAAGCAGAGCAGCAATGCAGAGTAAGAGAGAAAATTGATCTTTGTAATTCAACTATTAATAGATTTGATTTTTCATCCTCCACCCTTGATCACATGTAACTATGGAAAAATACATTGTCAGACATACTATGGTAGTCCTTTGCTTACAGAGTCCCTTCAACGAGATCGTCTAGTGGACAAAGGACATTACATATATTTCACCAGTCTCCAAAATCAGCTCAAGCCACCAATATAAACAACAAAGGGGCGGTTAATAAAATCAGGAAGTTAGGATCACACAGCAGTATGATATGATGTGAACATGTGGGAAAATCTAACACATTCTGTACAACTCCTCAAGAACATGAAGATAAAACCCATGAGAAGTCTTACCAATTCGTCGTAATCCTCCACATGTTTAAATTTCTTCTCTCTGTAGTAATATCTTTTCTTAAAGAACTGGAAGACAATGACGTCACATAGAACAGTTGCCTATAATCAAACAAACAAAAAATGAAAAAAAATCCTCTACTATTATTAAAAAGATGAAATAGAAAATAATAATTACATTTTTCTACATCCTTCAAGTATCAGAGCATTTACCCCTCCAATTATATTGCAAACCTACAGGCCTATGAAAACTATGTCCTGACATACATTGATTAAACCAATATTGTTGTATTTGATTGCCTGTAATTAAAAAAAAAAAAAAAAGACCCACTTCATCATTTAACATTAGATTTTAGTAGTTTCCAGCACTCATCACTACAGTATCAGATTTTATGATGAGCGCAGACATACATTTGATATTCTCCACATTATGTAATCATTTAGTACAATGACCTGATTCACAAAATTAATGCATAACTTAATATAAGTACATATTCACATATATAGATTTGTAAAAATGTATATGGACTCTTGGACCACTTTAATAATTTGGTTGGGCGGGGGGGGCTTTTTGGGATTATTGTTTTTAGATAAAGACATGCTAGAGATCAACAAAGCAATTAAAAGAAAAGCAGCTATAAAAATAAGATATATTTTACATGTTAGTGTTGCTGAAGTTTAGATTAAGTCCCATTCGTAAAAAAAATAAAAAATAAAAAGACAAGAAAACATTGGAGAGAGATCTGTGCTTATGCTGCACTCCTCCAATAAGATGCTCCTCGGAGTCCTTGAATCAAATTCTTCCCTATGGGGGGCATTAAAACTTTTGGTGATGGTGACTATGAGGACTTTCTGTTATTGAAAGTCTTCACATAGGATTGCCTCTAATGGTAGTCTGATTGGTGACCACTTTAGGCATTTCAACGGTCTAATGTTAACATTCCTTTTCTTACAATAGCAGTGTTCACATTCCTTAGGGTGTAGGGCAAGGTTTTCAAGCACCAAAACAACTTTATTAGGATGCAGTGGTTTTGGTGCTTAGAGAGTGTCCCCTTATTACAACTAAGAAATCACAAGTTAGACATATTGTATAAAAATAGCAAAAAACAAGAAAACCCTCACCACTCCAAGCAACGCAAGTCCCGAACCAATGTTAATCATTGTTGGAATTATGTCAAATTTTCCAGCCTGAAAAATAAAAACTTGATTTCATTACTTCTAGGGGAAAAAAAAAAAACCACACAAACACATTTACAAACTAATACTATAGGCACCAAATCAGTCATAGCTTGATTAAGCAGTTTTGGTGTATAGATTGTGCCCCTACAGTCTCACTGCTCAATTCTCTGCCATGTAGGTGTTAAATCACTTTGTTTATGCAGCCCTAGCCCCAACTCCCTGCATGTGACTTGCACAGCCTTCCATAAACACTTACTGTAAAGCGAGATCTATTGCCTCTATTGAACTGTTTAGTTCAGAATTTCTTATTTCCTGCTCTTTTAATAGTTAGCCGAGCAGTGTGTGATTAAAGTAAAATTTACATAGAAGGAGATAAAAACTTCTAAAGCAAGTTAACATCCAATTAAAAATGAAACCATATTTTCATATAGGCTGCGTGAGTCACTGCCAGGGGAGGAGTTTCTAGGGCTGCATAAACAGAACAAAATTGATTTACCTCCTGAATGGCAGTTTTGGTGTATAGATTATGCCTCTGCAGTTTCACTGCTCAATCCTCTGCCTCATTAAGATGCATTTTAGTGCCTATAGTATCCCTTTAAACCCTTAAGGACCAAACTAGAATAAAAGGGAATCATGACATGTCATACATGGGTTAAAATACATAATTTAGGGGGCAGAGCCAGCTCTCGGCATGAACGGTCACATACCTACTGCTCTCTGTCGACCGCAGCCAAATAAGGCTCAAAATCAGCCGCAAGAAGCACCCTACCACACTGCAGACAGCCTGCTAACACTTCTCCACCGATGGAGAAAAACTAAAAAAAACGCGCCCGGATGGCCAGTGGTTCACGGCCGATATAGGCGACCTGCTGAGGAGACCGCATGGCGCGGCGGGACCCAACATGGCGGCTGACTTAGAGGATTACTCTGGGAGCTCGGACGACACATCCCTCCACTGCCCTGAGACATTGGGCTACAAGGGACCTTCCAAACCCACACAACCGACGGCGGGTCTCCCGGTTACCACAGAGATTCTTACCTCTCTCCTGACCGACCTATGCCAGTTGCTCACCACGGAGATCTCCCAGATAAGGGAAGATGTTAAGGGGTTCACTGATCGCCTCTCAGCAGTGGAGCAAACCACTCAGGCACAGGCAGCACAAATGACAGAGCTACAGAATCAGGTCAAAGACCTCTCCTCAGCTCACACTACAGTCACCCACCAACTAGCAGCTATGGAAGACAAAAAGAGGTGGAATCATATCAAAATTAGAGGCCTCTCAGGAGATGGGGAAGCTCAGCTGGGGCTACAGCATCTAAGAAGGCTTTTTGTGGCCCTCCTGTCCCCTAAACAAGCTAAAGGGGTGCAGCTGGATGGCATGTTCCGCCTGCCCAAGCCACCACAACTCACAAGCTCTGCAACAGGTGACCTCCTGGTCAGATTTCAAAATGGGCGCCATCAAAGGGAAGAACCCCTACCGCTTTGAAGATAGGGACGTAACGTTTTACTCAGATCTCTCGCGCACAACCCTGCAATGGCGTAAGTCTCTCCGACCACTTACAGCGACATTAACAGCCAAGGGAGTGACGTACCGTTGGGGACCATCACACGTACTCCTCATCCAACACCAAGACAAGGAATATAAAGAGACAGACATCGCGGAGATGGACACGGTATTGGCAGCTATGCAACAAAGGCATATCGACCTACTCCCTTAGAGGGCAAGGTCCCAACTCAACCTCGACACATAAGCGCACACCATGCCTTCACTTACAGGCTAACTCCAGATCACAAGCACGTATGCCAAAACTAACCTTACGACCAGAACAGAAACTACTCTTTTCACACATTGCCTTTAACTCTATGTTGTTAGACTCTGCGAATTATCTTTACCATTTTAAAAATTGTGCCATTACTCAAAATGCCATGCTATTGTTATACTTTATTGCTAATAAGCTTGCTATAGCTGTCATGGCTATCCAAGCATGTTAATGCATGCACAACAAAAATAAAGAATTTAAAAAACAAAAAAAACAAAAACATTTTTAGATTTCAATAAGAAAAGCTTTCTCAATTATACAACAGAAAAATAAAAATAAATTAGATGCACTATATAAAATGTGTAATTTAAGAGTTCTGTGTTTTTGGGCACAACATTGCTACAAAATTAAAACCACCTGACTAACATTATGTAGATCCCCCTCAAACTGCTAAAATGGTTCTGATAAGTTGAGGAATGAATTCCACAAGATCTTTGATTGTGTGCTGTGGTATCTGGCACCAAGACATTAGGAGCAGATCCTTTATGTCCTGCAAGTTGTGAGGTGGGGCCTCCATGAATTGGATTTGTTGTTTCAGAACATCCCACAAATCCTTAGATCAGATTGAGATCAGGGGCATTTGGAGGCCAAGGCAACACTTGAACTCTTTGTCATGTTACTCAAACAACTCCTGAACTCCACAGTGTGGCAAGGTACATTATGCTGCTGAAAGATGCCACTGCCATCAGGAAACACCACTGTCATGTACATGGTCTACAACAATCTCTAGGTAGGTGGTACAAGTAACAAGCACATGCATGCTAAGGCCCAATGTTTACCAGAGCATAACACTGCCTCTACCAGCCTGCCATCTCTTTCCCAGGTAAATGACACACACTGACCAGGCCATCCATCTGATCTAAAACAAAATGTGATTCATCAGACCAGACAACCATCTTCCGTGGTCCAGTTCTGACATCTCTGGCAATGGACAGGGGTCATCGGGGCACTCTGATCAGTCTACGGCTATGCAGCTCCATAGGCAGTATTCTGACACATTTCCATTATGTCCAGAATTAATTTTTTCAGTTATTAAAGCTACAGTAGCTTTTCAGTATTCAGACTAGACAGGCTAGTCTTCACTCCCCACTTGCATCAATGAGCCTTGGCCAGGTTCACCGGTTGTCCTTCCTTGCACCACTTTTGGTAGGTACTAACAACTGCATACTGGGAACATCTCACAAGACTTGCTGGTATGGCTATGCTCTGACCCATTCATCACTATTTGGTCCCTTTCAAAGTCACTCAGATCTTTTCGCTTTCCCATTTTTCCTGATTCCAACACATGAAATAAAAAACTGGCTGTTTACCTGCTGCCTAATATAACGCACCCTTTGATAGGTGCCATTGTAACAATATAAATCAATGTTATTCACAGACATATAGACACGCACACATTTATTCCTCCCCCCCCCCCAAACATGTACTCACTGTTCCGAAAACCAGGATGTCAAAACGGATCCCATAGACTTTCATTAGCGTTCTTGATTCCACATCATTAATATTCTTATAATATTTTGCAGATCTGGAGGAAATAGGAAATATAGAGATTCGTTTTGCTATAGTCAGGGAGTTCAAATACACTGCACACAGCAGAAACACTAAAATAAGTACACCATGGGGTTAGTTCACTAAATTGGAAGTTATGGAAAATTGTTTAAGGAATTTTAAGTGTTATGTCAAAGTAAGAGACCAACATTTTTTTCCCCCCAAGTTTTTCCAATTCCAAAATTAGGGAATAAAGCCCAGGGTATTTGGAGACCTATGTGTTCACACAAATCTGATCATAATACTGGTATACTTGATTTACAAAGCAGACCTGATGAACTATTCAGCAACACAGAGTGGAATAATTAGACCAGGGGTAGTCAACCTGATCCCTACCGCCCACTAGTGGGCGGTTTGGGATTTTAGGTGGGCGTTGGTGGGTTCTGGAGAAAATGTCAAGTGGGCCTTGATGGCCATGGACCAAGGCTTGCAGAGGAGATCCTTTCATCTCCCCTGCCGGCCCATGCAACTGTAGCCTTATTGTGAGCCCTCTCGGGCTGGTGAGGAGATCAAAGATCTCCCTCACCGGCCCACTGGCACTTGGTTCCAGCAAAGGTAGGGGAAGGACCTGGGAGGCTCTGTGTTCCTCCCGCGAGAAGGCTGGTCGGACTGTTGCCGCGCGTTAACCATGGCAACGCTCCGATACAGTGCTGTGTTTGCAGGAGGACAGAAGTGGCTGCAGGTTAAAGGGAACATGCCACCACTGGACCACCAGGGTTTGCAGAATTATGTCCCCCCCCCTCCCTGGTAAAAGGTAAGAAGAAGGGATGGGGGACATATTAAGATAGATTTTCACATCTCACCCACCTACACACAGCATAGACCCTATGCACTCCTCCCACTCACACTTTTGCCTCACACACAAACTGCCTCCCTCATACACACACACAACACTGCACCCTTCACACACACACACACACACACAACACTGCACCCTTCACACACACACACACACAACACTGCACCCTTCACACACACACACACACAAACACAACACTGCCCCCTAATACACAACACTAGTCACACACACACACTGCACCCCTCACCCATATACACACAGTGCACCCTTTACAAACACTGCCCCCTAATACACAAACTGCACCCTTTACACACAAACACACAGCACCCTTCACACAAACAGCACCTCAGAGATAAAAAAAAAAAAAAATAGAAAAACAAAGGGGGGGAAATGGATACATTTAAAGTACATTTTTTTTTAAAATTGCACTGCAGCAATCAACAAAGTGGGCGGTAGTTATTAAAAGGTTGACTACCCCTGAATTAGACAGTAGCATAATGCTCTTCACCATCTGGCTACCTGCTAGATCCGCTGTAGCTTTCTATGGCAAGCAAAAATTGTTCCACCAACCCAAACAGGAATAATTATTTCACAATTACACACATTTGCAAGGTATTAATGCAGACAGTTTCCAACCTCATCTGATTTCACAGCATTTTGTCCACATTAACAGTTATGTGTTAGTATGGTACATTTCATGCTGACCTGAAGTTATAGCCAGGGGACACATTGTGATCCAATTCTCGGCTATCCAGTCGCCGGAAAGAATACCTTGGGACACATTTTGAGAACTTTTTGTCCAGATCACAGTCCCACCTAATTTGTATCCCCATCACACCCCCCTGTGGAAAAAATGCAAACGTTTATTCATCAGGAATAAAGACACACATCCTTACATAACCAAGATATCTTGCAGACTTAATAGTCTTAATATATTCCCAATATTATAGTTACACAAGCTGAAATTGAGCCTCACATCGTAGTTCAGCCTCACATCGTAAAGCACCAATGTCGGCTCCTGGAACATAAAGCATCAGGAGCTTAAGAGGACCAGCAGGACGATGTTCAGGTATGTAAAACTCATCTTTCCCTGTACCCCACAGCCACCTCACTGGAAGTGGCAAAGTCCTCATTGGAAAGACCTTAAAAGGTGAAAGAGCTGGTTTAACAGAATTCTCCACCTCGGCATGCAGGACTGTTGTAAGGAATGTAAATCTGAATGGCAAAGCTGTGATTATAGTAGATGTGGAACATTTCCCCCCTCTCCCTCCCAATTCAGCCATTTTCACTTACATTTTGAAATTCGTATTTCAATTCACTACAATATTGAGAATGTAGTTAATTAACCCATTTTTAAATGTGACTTGTACCCATCAGGCTATGCAACTTACCAAAAAATAAAATCAAAATGTCTGTCACCAATTGGACTTTTTTTTGCAAAACTTTCAACAAGAATGATTTTATTTTGTTTTGAATGGAGTAAAATGGACTACAAATTTAGCCAAACACAGGGGCTGGGGATAATGGCTGAAGCCCTATAATGTACAAAATTATTCACCAAAGTGAGAATTAAAAAAGTGAATAAAAATATGTGCCGCTAACCCAAATCAGGGAAAATAAACTTGAAAAATACAATTGAAAATAGATATACTGGCGGGGGAAGGGATAGGATGGGGACAGCACAAGTTATGCTACTGTCAAACACATTTAGGACATTTTGACAGCCACGCAAGTATAAGTCACATCATAAGTGCCTGTTCAAGGTTGGAGATCACAACTGCATACAACCATTGTTGTATTAGGTAGAAACGGTTACAGAACCAAGTAGCCACCTCTACATAGACTAAGGCAAAGGAGATGGAACTGAAGCATAACTAGACACACACTACAGTGCACCACTATTCTCAGCTCTGCTTCTTATGTTTAGACCAATGCCACTTGTAAGTTAGGGACTGTTTGTTGGGCCCATGATCCGACAAATAGGTGATGATGGAACACGTGGTGTCCTTGATAATTCAGGCGCACTGGGGTCATTTCATCTGGCCTCACAACAGGAGAAAACTCTTTCCCATTTAAATCAAATAGGGGGATAGCAACAGGGGTGGGGTAAACACGACTACAGGGTTATAACGATAAGGTGACATAACGTGAGAGACTAACAGATGCTTGTATAAACCTCACACAAATATATGTTAATTCATGCTCACTGCTCTGTACAACTCTGGTTTGGGAAACAAACACTCACGGAAGACCAGGAATGGGTCAATGATGTACAAAATTTGTAGTGCAGATTTATTCAAATAATACAAACATGGTAAGCAGCAGTGATGAAAATGGTGACCAACAGATCCTGTACGAGGCATAAAAAAAAAAAATAAAGTTAAAAAAATGGAAGGTGGAGAACAAAAAACTAAATGAAACTGGGAAATTACCATTGTTACAGGATGCTTTTGCAAAATAAAATAAAATTGCCCACTATTTAAAATGTGTTGGAGACACATTTAAATAAAAAAAAAAAAAAAAAAAAAGGCTTGGAGCCTAATCAGACTGCTACCTGCAGCCCTTTGTGTGCCTCCAATCCATGTCAGTGTAACAAACAAACAAACAAACAAAAAATTATAAGGTTTAACCCCTTCACGACCAGCTGACGGTTCAGGACCGTCATCACGGAAAACTAGCAGCGGGAGCAATCAGAGATCGTTTCCGCCGAAATCCCGCTGTTAGTGTTATTTTAGTTTTTTTTAAAAGAAGCAAATTTTAGTTAGTCAGTCAGTTTCCTTCCCCCAAATCTCCAGTTAGATTCTTTATGCAGGAGTTAGTTTAGAGATTGCTGCTAAAGGTACATTTGATATCTGCACATTTGGTTAAAAAAGTTTTCGGGCAGTAACATATCACCGGCTGGCCAAAACCAGATGACGTGTGCATAAAAAACAGAGTTCAGAAAAAATTTTAAACAATGTTTTGGAAGCTTTTGGGCTACTGAAGAATATAAGAAGTGCAATAATGGCATTATATGCTTTCAGTCGGCCAGAGTGGTGGGTGCTTGATTTACATCGGATTGGTTTTCACTAAAGAATGGGATGAGACGGGGCTGCCCTCTGTCCCCACTTCTTTACTTAATGTCAACTGAACCGTTGGCGGTTGCAATAAGGAATATTGCTTTAATAAAAAAGGTCTGAAGGTGAAGGGCAACTGTGTTAAACTGACAATGTACACAAATGATGTACTTTCTCTTGGATACCCTGTGAACTCTCTTAATACTCTTGCCATGTATGGAGGAATATTCAGTTTATTCAGGGTACAAACTGAATTTTAATAAAATTAATAGCCTTACCTATTAACTTACCCCAGGAGACGATTGAGGTATTTAAAAAAATAAATAAATAATGGGTTTGGTTTTAGTTGTGTGGAGCTATCAATTAATTATTTGGGAATTGAAATTGCAAATGACGTAAGCAAAATTATGGAACTTAATTTTTTACCACTCCTTAAATATACAGCTAAATAAATTAATGGAAAAATCTTGAAATTTCTTGGTGGGGGCAGATTAATGTAAAATCTTATATTGTCCTAAAATGGCTATATCTTTTTCGGGTGATACCGCTGCCTTGCCCAGATAGCTGGGTGACACTAGCACAATCTCTCATTAATAAATACACCCGGCTGGGCAAAACTCCAAGGATAAATTCGATTAGCTTATTTTTAAAAGTTAAATTCGTAAGACTGGGGGTCCCTATCTTGAAAGACTACCAAAAGGCCTGTAGTTTATCACATGCCTTTATTACTCAGTTAAAGTGCTCTATTGTGGAAATATGGCATAAAACCGAGCAGGACTTAACAAGTTGAAGTTCACTCAGTAGAATTGGGACCTTTATTTTGGACAGTTCAGACAAAATATGGCAGTTCATTAAAATACAGCTCTAACAGTATCACTCTTAATTGTATCTTGACAGGGTGGGCGAAAAGCAGAAAAGAATCTAATTTGTATAACAAGTTAATACCATCTCTTCCACTGGCATATGTTGCATATTATATGCCAGATTTAAAGCTACGCAAGTGGTTAGAAGGTGGAACAGTAAGAATAAATAATTGAATAAACAAACAATTCCTGGTCTGATTTTCATTCGCTAAGTTTGAAATACAATTAGATGATAAGGACATTTTTAACCATCTTAGGGTAAAAAGGTTTCTGTCAGGAATCGAATAATATAATCTGGCTTGAAAAAAATATTAAATAAACGGTCGCCAAAAAAAAATAGCTGACTGCTTACAATTTATGTCAAGAGACCCCGATAAACCTATAGAAGTAATTATTAATAAATGGCAAGCAGACTTAAATGTCCAAATTAGTTGTGAACAATGGAGGGAGGCCTTCTCCTTAGTTTGTAAAAATATTCGATGTCTTAACTTCGTAGAATGCCAATACAAACTGGCAAATAGATGGTGTCTGGTTCCCAGCAGAATGAGTAAATGTATTAATAACCAGGATCATGCAGAAAGAGGGGACTATTTACATATATGGTGGGATTGTGGAAGATGATATTGCAATATTAGGCAACTATGCGGTAATTTAGCACCCTTTGTAATTCACATATTTGTAGCCTCTAAGATTACTATCGCAAGATATTGGAAATTTTCTCTGGTTCCAGTTTGGCCCATATTAAAAGAACAAATGAAATTTCAAATAAAAATTGAATGGGGTCTAGTCTGATGTGAATTGGAAAGCCAAAGTAGCTGCTTGTGCCAGGAGCACACATACTAAACTCCCTACTGGGATTGTGTCCAAAACAAGTCGTTTAGGAGCCAACTCGTAAAGAGGTCATACTAGATTTAGTGTTAACTAATGGAGATTTGGTATCAGATATTACTATAGGTGAAAGTTTAGGAGGGGCTAAAGTAGCTAATCAGACACATGGATGTTTGGGGAGTAAGTTTGCCTCCAGCGTCGCAGATGCACCTCTAGTGGCTGTCAGAAAGACAGCCACTAGAGGCTGGATTAACCCCAAATATAAACATAGCAGTTTCTCTGAAACTGCTATATTTGCATCTGAAGGGTTAAAACCTGAGGGACCTGGCACCCAGACCACTTCATTGAGCTGAAGTGTTCTGGGTGACTATAGTGTCCCTTTAAACTTGAATCCAAGTCTAATAAATTGTTTTAAAACTACATTGCCTATTTGAACTACAATTTGCATTTTTTGAGTGGATTACTACATATCAATGCTGAATATCCATGGTGATTGGGATCAGAAAAATGTAAATCCCTTATTTTTCCTTAAAACTTCTCCTTTAAGACCACTCTACAATTCGGAATGTTATGAATAGAGAAGAGGGATAAATTCCCCTCCCCCCCAGTATGTGTTCTAAAAAATGTATTTCAAATTTCTTGCCTGTGACTGATGAGATAAAATATTTTTGTTCTTAATATCAATAAAATGACAATTACATGTTAGATCCACAAGCATACATTCCTGTACAGTTGAGCCAGGTGTTACTAAATTGAGGATAACCTGAAAGAAAATGGCTTGGCAACAAATATGATTTGAAGGACATGACGTTTCCTAGCACTACTTCAAATCAGACAAGTTGTGATTAAATTCAACAAGTTTCAAAATGGGAAGATGCCTCCCTATAAATTCTACAATTGAATTAAAAGGATCACAGTGCTCAGTACAGAAAATAGAGAAACATCTTACGCTTTCAATATTTCACTTAGTTTGAGATTTTTCCCATTTTATTTTAGTTAACTGAGAATCACATGCAGGTGATTTAAAGAGACGACTTGCTCAGCATGGGTATCCTGAAAGTTATATCACTAGAAGCTATGAAATAGAAATAGATGTCCCCTTCTCAAACAACACGCAATCTAATTTAACAAGAATAAAATGGAAAAATCCCAGACAAAGGGAAATATTGCCAACGATGCAGGTTTCCCTATTTTTGGTTTTGAATACAGTGATCAATATAAAATTATTTTTTCTCTTTTGAGTGCAGTATCGCTGCTTTGTGGGAATTTGCAGAATTGGAAGCATACCTGGCTTAGAGAATGTTACATTTTGGCTATTTTGACCTTAAAATTTTAAATTCACTTTGAATTCTCACTTTGGTTAATTCCAAGTTGTGTTTTCAATGTTGCCTAAAAACACAACTTGACAAAATAAAATAAATAAAGATTTATGAGTGGAATATCACATAACTTTATTAGTCATTTTGCTGAAAACCCAATGTAAAAATAGACAAATAAAAACAAAACACTCTGAATCTTTAATATTGCAGTCCATAATATATCAATTGTAAGTTTATATTGGACTTTATGCAGACTGTAGCTCATTTTCTCCTTACCTGTATAGCCATATCGCGAAAGGATTCTCCTGCCTCACTTACTATGCTTCCCAAGCGAAATATAGGACAAAAAGGGTTGTGCATTCGGTCGTATAGACAGGTCTTTAGGTAACTGGTGGTGACATTTGGCAAAATGTTTCTCCTGGGGAGGGAGGGAAAATAAACAGGTGCATTATTGTCTTATTCCTGGTTATTCACACTGCATAACTCTGCAAAAAAAAAAAACAACAACAACACAAAACACAAAACACACACACACACACACACACAGCAATGAGTAGATGAAATTCAAACAGCCATTATGATAGAAAGTGCAACAAAAGAAACAGGATGTATATGTTCTACAAAACCTTTCTGGAGGTTAAATTATCTTAGTGTTTGCTCACTATAGATAAAAAAAACACAGCAGCCATTTTAAGGTATATTTGTCAAACAGCACATGGTAGTAAACAGAAAGCTAAAATGAAATAAAAAACATGCAAAAATAGAACAGATGGTTTAATAGTGGAGTTTGAGGTTTCTTTTTTTCTCTTCACAAGCCAATGGTGCCTAAATTTTGCAATATAATTTTTAATTCACTACAATTTACAGTTTAGTGAATTATCCCACTTGGTTCTAGTTATTTACACCACAAAAAAAGTGTCAGACAATTTCACCACATATTGCAATGCTTTATCACCTGAAACAGGGTGATAAGGGCTGCCTTGTAAAGCAATAGCATTTTTTGTGCAATATATATATTACACACACACACACACACCCACACACAAGCATATATACTTTACATTTTCGTTTTCAATAGTGCAACTCAGGCTGTATGTTGGCAAGATATGGAAAAAAGTGAGCATCTGGGATTTGTTGTTGCTGCAAGTGGAGAAACTTCAAAACATCTCCCCCTCCTTCCATATATTACTGTTAAATGGCTAGTTTACATGGAATAAGAATGGCCAACACCATATGTATTGGACATTAAAACTGCTCCTCTAATAATATTGAAATTATACATAATGATACACTGACCAGCCCAAACATTGACATTGTGGCTATGGCAAGTGTTATGCCCGCCTCCCCACAGGTCTAGCACCTTTGCCCCACGAAGGTGATGACACCCAACTCATGTGGATATCGCACAATTTTGTTTTGTTTTTTGTTACTAGCTTTGTTTTTTGTTTTTTTGTGGTGACTTCGGCGTTAAATTTACCCGAACAGTATACTAGGATTCTATATTTCTTGGGCTGGAAATTTTGCTAACATGCATTTAATTGTACCATGTGTGCGTCCGGGATATTTACCCAGCATGCTACCGTTTAAATTTACTGTATGCTTACTAAATTCCGCATTTTATCGGGAAATATGCACACATTTTATCTGTGTTCAGATTTTGTTTTCATAGTGCTGTGGAGTGTAATTAATGGCTCCTGCAAAAATCTATACAGCTAGGAAAAATATACCAACACTACATATCTTATGCTTTCAGCACTAGACTATTGTGTCAGGACAGTCTAACTTTTTATGTGTGAATATGTAGCGCTGATACACTGTTTTAGGTGCTCATCGCACCGCTTATTTGCGATCATAATAAAACCTTATAAACTCTGATGCGTTGAGGCAAGACCTCTAAACGTGTTTTTGTTTTGGTTTTTTATTCGGCCCAAGACATTAGCAGCAGATCGTTTAAGTCCTGCAAGTTATGGGGTGTTGCCTCTAAGGATCGGATTTGTTGTTCCAGCACATCCCAAAGATGTTCAATCAGATTGAGATCTGGGGAATTTGAAGGCCGAGGCAACACCTTCAACTCTGTCATGTTCCTCAAACCATTCTTGAACAATGTTTGCAGTGGCAGGGTGCATTATCCTGCTGAAAAAGACCACTGACATCAGGTAACACCATTACCGTGTGTGTGATATGCAACAATCTCTACGTACATGGTACGTGTCAAAGTAAAATCCATAGAAATGCCAGTACTCAAGATTTTCCAGCTAAACATTGCCCAGAGCATAACAATGCCTCTGCCAGCCTCCCTTCTTCCCCGAGTAAATGTTGCACACACACCCAGCCAAACTTCTACCATTGCTCTATGGTCCAGTTCCAATGCTCATGTCCTCATTGAAGGCAGTGTTGGCAATGGACAGGGATCATTGGCACTCTGACCGATCTGCAGCAGCGCAGCCCCATACACAGCATACTGCAATACACTGGGTGTTGTGACACCTTTCTATCATGGCCAACATTACGTTGTCAGCATTTTGAGCTACTACTGTGTGATCGGACAAGATGGGCTAACTTTTACTCCCCACGTGCCTCAGTGAGACTTGTGTGCCCATGACCCTGATGCCGGTTCATGTGTTGTCTTCCATGCACCACTTTTGGTAGTTACTAACCACTGCATACCAGGAACACCCCTCAAGACTTGTCGTTTTGGAGATGCTTTGACCAGTCATCTAGCCATCACTATTTGGCCCTTGTCAAAGTCACTCAGATCTTTTTTGCTTGCCCATTTTACCTGCTACCAAAACATAAAATTAAAGGACTGCCTAATATTCCTCCCTTTGACAGGTGCCATTGTAATGAGATAAAAGTGTTATTCACTTCAAATGTCCTAGTTTTATTACAAGTTATAAATTCATATAAACAAACCTTTCTATTCTTTATTTATGTCTGCTGAAGTGGTTTATGGGAATTTGAAAGTTTAAAATGGTGATAGCATTGATAAATGCAAAATGGCATTAAAAATAAATCTAAATAATTTTTTTTTTTACCTACATAAGTATTTTATTTCAGTAAAATTCTTACTCATGTCAGTTGGAGAATTAAAAGGGACACTATAGTCACCCAGACCACTTCAGCTCAATGAAGTGGTCTGGGTGCCAGGTCCGTCAGGTTTTAACCCTTCAGATGTAAACATAGTGTAACAAATTGAAGAGCCTTCCTTACCTGCTTTCATGGGGATTTTGCTATACAACAGTTCGGGACATTTAAAAGCATTCATCATACGAATGCAAACTACCGAACACCGGACCACCCTGCTACCTAATTATGGATAATTTACCTCCATGATCCGCGAATACAGTCTGCATAGGAAACCCACGAACGGTTTGTGAAGTGCCTGGGTGGCCGCCATTTCGGGACTTTTACACGTGTTCACGGCCATCTTAACTCCCAAACAGCAGTGTTTTGCCGTCGAGTGTCTGGAACTAAAATCGGACACTCGAATAGGCGGACACCGCTGAGACCTCCATAGCACCGGGAAATCGTGCCAAAACTACCGAACAACCTGCCGTTCGGAAGAAAGACTTAATAGCATATGGGGATTCTGACGAACGTCGTGTTACGCACGGATGGCAAGCCTTTCGGGACTTTTTATGCGCAAACAAAGACCGACCGCAAGGCCAAAACTCATGGAACTATTTTCGGCCACTTTGCCAGTGCGGTCGGGCAAAACTTTAAAGCTCCATATCTCCCGAACCACTGAACCGAATGAGCTGATTTTTTAGTATGTTGGTCCCCAAGAATAGGGCTGGGGATTTATGCATGTACCCCAGGTATTTGGGGTACATCCAAAACTTGGGGGAAAATGTGTCTCTGATAATTGGGTTAAAAGCTTATCTGAGGGGAGGAGATGTGTGGGATGTACCTTATGTTGTATTGGTTGTTTTGTTAATTATGTGGATGTCTCCCTTGCATGGGCAGAATCACATAAAAAGAGAGTACCTGCCATTAAAAGCCAGTTCTTCTTGACCCTTCAAAAAACGTAGCCCTGTCTCGTTATTGAAAGGGAATATGAAGCATAATCACTTAGCTCTTTTAAGAGCTCTACCTGACTCCTGCCTTGGATCCAGTGGATGGGAATAAGCAACTCCACTACTATACAGCGACTTGCCAGGAAGAAATGGACGTCTCCAACGACTGATACCCTCTTACTACCTGGGTAGCTGTTACATATAGTTTCAGAGAAACTGCTATGTTTACATTTGGGATTAATCCAGCCTCTAGTGGTTGTCTTCTGGACAGCCACTAGAGGCGCATCTGCGACGCTGAGGCACATTTTGCCTTCACCGCGCAGAGCGTCCATAGGAAAGCATTGAGAAATGCTATCCTATGGACACTTTGAATGCACGCGCAGTACTTGCAGAGCATTCGGCTCCGCTGACGTTGGCAGTGGGGGGGTGAGGGAGAGGTCACCAGCGCCGAGGGAGCACGGCGCTGAATTAAGGTAAGCTGCTGAAGGTGTTTTAACCCCTTCAGCGCCACGGGAGGAGGACCCTGAGGGTGGGGGCACCCTTAGGGCACTATAGTGTCAGGAAAACCGCTTTGTTTTAGTGAGCCTTTAAACATTACAACTACACATCTGGAAATTCAAAAAAATTGGCTTTTAAAAACACTGAGCATAGAAATTAAGATCTTCTAAATTAATATAAATAAATACATAAGAAACAAGGTATGCCTACTTCACACTTACTTGGAGAAATTAAATTTCGGAAACCAAATATTATTTTTAATAAGAACTGTGAAATTTTCAGCTTCCTTGAGAAAAGCAGGTCTGAAACAACAAAAACAAAAACAAAACAAGGTCAGATTTCAAAATTAATGCAAAAGGTTCCATCATTAGCCCTGATTGTGTTATCTAGTGAATAGACTAGATTTGGATTGATGTATGCACAGTATTTATTGTGGCATTTTGTAAAGAGGCTCTCTGATTGTACAATGGTTCCATTGTCTGATAAAGCAGTATTGGGTAAAAAGACCCACTGTTTGTAAATGCCTGCAGTATCCCAGGTAGATTCCAATCTCCTCTCTCACATACCCCCCAACATTTCAAATGGACAAACAGGAACACTTTAATATTAGGGATGTGAATGGGTAGGGTCCAAGAGTGTTGCAGTTCTTTTTAGGTGATTTACTAATTTATGCAACTAAAATTTAATTTAGAACAAGAACAATTTATCTTATTAACACAGACTGATTTCTAAACACATGTATTGTAGTTTAAATACACATTACTGGGAGTATTTTTTTTACTGTACACTCAGACACACCAACAATATGGAGATCCTAGAAAAGAGGGACGGAGGGATTTAGATCCAAAGGTGGGACTGACCCTCCTAAAGACACTTGAGAGGTATGCTCTCGTGATAGTGTATGCTGATCAAAAGGCTACTCACTCTGGCAATTCTGTGTCATTTTCTACTGGACACCAAGCATAAACTTCACAGGATTTGACAGTTTCATTATAAGCGACACATTGTCCAGTCTGAACTCCTATAAGACAGAAAAAAACGATTTATAGCTTGCCACTCTCTCTCTCCTAGCATTAATTGTAGCCATTTTCATCATATGGAATTCTCTCCCTAGTTACACTGACACCAGGAGAAAAAAAAAAAATAAGCTTTACATTTCAATTATTGCACAGTGAGGACAGTGGAAACCGTGGCTGCAGAATGGAAAGAATTAGTAGCAGATAAATGTTTAGATTTTTATTTATTTTTTAATAAAAAAAAAAAATCAATAGTAACAAAATGCAACTAGTCAGAATAAAAAAAAAGTACAGTGCTTCCATGATGCAAAAAGAATCACGCAAGTTGTTTTAGAGTCGTTTAATCAATAGGAAACTCATTGTTACGTGGAATCACAATATGGGATTCTAAACAGATCCCATGTCAGTTTCTCAGACTGCATCAGGAGTGATACGTTTTATTCCCTCCCCAGTCTTTATTGATATTTTGTGAAATAAGTAAAGAGGTACAGTTTGAAAATCACACACCAATGAAAAAAAAAAAAAAGGTAACAAATCCTTACAATGCTTCACAAAATAAGCAGGGTCTTTATTGCAGAGCAGGAGGGAATGCCCCCCCACCCGGCAAAGTAACAAAATATAGGCTGTCCAGGGTGTACAAGGGGGCTCACTTATTGGACTAAAAGAGAGAAAATAAAAAGGCAGAGAAAAATAAATAGAATCAAGCATTTGAGGGCAGGGAGGGACTGGTAGGTGAGGAAGAGAGACCGAGTCAACCAGTGCGCAAAAGATTAAAGTGTACCACGTCATAAAGTTGATAGGACCCAGATAGAATGGGAGATCCCATGACTCAATCTGCACCCCAAGAGTGAGAAAACAACTTCCTGTCTGCCCAGTCTGCCCTCTCAACTTGAACAGCTTTCATGGTGTGAGGGACATAAAGCAATCTGCATCTAAGTTTTGTGCTTGGTTATGCTATTCAGATGGCAACAGTTTGATATTTTTGCTTCAATCACTAATTTTTTACCAATTCTACAAGAAATCTTAAAACAAACTAAAATCGAAACATCTTTGGTCATGTTCCTTATCAAGCGTAAAGACCAAGGTAGAACATTGCTAAATATTTGCCACTCATACCAAAGCTGTGCGTGCTTATAAATCCAGGAATACAGTCATGTGAGGAGTTGCATATGGTTGACTGGTCCGGTAACTGGAAGGAGATAACACAAAATATATTTTGAGTGCTGTGTTTCTATAGCTATGCAATTGGTGAAGTGTTTATTTGGAGTAATCAACGCATTTTGGCAGGAGATCACAGCCACGTTTTCGCTGTCTTTATTACAAATAATGTAATGAGAACACATCTAGGGTAAGGCATTTGCCAAATTAATGAGACAATTACTATATTTTTATTTTTTTATAAATACAGCACAAATATACACCGATATAAATATAATGATTAATTCACTATATCCTCAATTGTAGTGAACAGAAACCTGAATGGCAACATTTTGGGAAAAATAGCGGATCTGAATAAAATTCTCCAATTCATCTATATAGTCACAGCATTTCTATTTTAACTTTAATTTACCATTTAGATTTCAATTTGACACAATGTATACCTTAGCAAATAAATCCTACAGCAGGGATGCCTAAAAGGTAGAAAAGCACCATGGGAGGTGTGGTTCAACAACATCTGGGATCTGCCTTTTGTGCATCCCTGCCCTACAGGGTGTTATGTAGTTATAAACCCAAACCAGTAAGAATCGCTGGGAATTCAAAATAAATTACAGTTTAGCTATTTTTGGCCTTAAATGTTAAATTCACTTTGAAATCCTGATAGTTTTCACTTTTATAAATTACCACGTATAAAATTACAGGGAAAAATAAATAAATTACGTATCTGTATAGATACATAAATAGTATTTTTATTGAAAACAATTATTGCCTTTCTGGTAGCTTTGCTCCTTTTATTTATTGGTCTGATTAGATTGTGGAGATTATCTCAGAGACACAGATGCCGTTATTTCAAAATAGCAGACCATTATCAAAATTAGTGCCAGACCCATGTGCATATGTGGGAGATTTCAATATTAGTTCCTTTTGCTTGATATCTTGCGGCAGAGATTATGTAAGAATGATTAGCTTTGTTAACAAGTACCAAGGTATCTGTAGTTAGCATGGTTTCATTTATATACACAATGATAGCGTTTTTAGCTCAAAACTCAACGCCAAGTGGGATCTGAGAGTTCTCATCATACTGTGACAAAAAGTCATCCATAAAGCCACATTGTATCTTTTGCTTCCCAATACTTTTTGAAAATGTGAGTTTTCATCCCTTATACTGCCACTTGGGCACTCCGGGGCATATTGAATTCATGGATTATATAGATTTGCCAGACTAACATTACTACAGGGGCCCATTTGGGACTCCGTATATGATGCTCATGAGGTTGTTCAGTGGTATCAGGGCTCCAGGTTCAGACACTGTAGACTCACTTGTGTCATACTTTTATATTAGCAAGAGAGAGACAATAGGTCAACTGTCTCTACAATGATTAATCCCAAATGGGTCAAGGTTCCAGTATTACATAATACATCCATGTTTTTGTATCTAAACAGAGCCCCATGTAATAGCTTTGTGTGAAATTCCCAACAACTGACTAATATATCCTGTATCCAGAATCAGTCAAAGTCACTGCCAAAGACAAACAACAACGCAGAGGAGTAGCCTTTCACATGTCCAGTCACAGATCTACAGACATATTTTAAACTTACATCAGGGCAGTGGCCTTGAGTCTGATTCTGTGTAATAATGAGGTTGGTCATCACAAAGAAGGCATTTTCCTCCTAGATACAAAACAAGTACATGATTAGTGTGAGCTTTAATAAAAAGGGTCTCAATACAAAGATTTTAATTTTTACCGTTTATTGGAGACTTGTCAACATCCATGTACCTCACTGATTAACACAAAAAGACAACCAAAAACCACAACACAATGTAGGAGAACGGGAGACAGTCACAATAATGGGCTCCCTGCAGTTACTTTGAGTATTTAATCCACTGGTGCAATATTTGTAACTAGATCTATTAACAATTGTAAAATCCCCAGAACACTAAGCATTAAAGGGACACTCCACTGCCCAAAACAAAACACTGTTTAGTAGATATACTATCAAAAAAAAACAAAAAAAAATAACAAATGTATGCATGCAGCTTTGCAAGCTCTCCCTTTCTAACCTTGTCCAGACTTTGTGGCTTTCCATTCACAGACTTCCCAATGAGAAGTCTTTGCAAGGCATGTGCTCTGGGTAATTGCTGACTCTTGAGTTTAGCTTCACTGAACTAACCAAACCAGGAAGTAACAGGACAGGTTGCCTAATTGACAGCTGGGGAGTTGTAACAAGGTTAATTCAGATTTCATAGTATTTCTATTGAAATCAACATTTTTGTAAAATAAAAAGAATGAAAAAAAAATAAAATAAGATAAAAAATATAGGGACACTTTACAATTCAGCGAGTGCTTTATGGTTTTGGAGTTTCCCTTTAATACCTAAGGCAGGTGATCTAGGCTTAGGTTTATCAAACTATGCAGCTGTGCAAATCCAAGTTGCAGATTTCTTGTCATCCTCACAATTCGAGAGATATTATGTTTCTTTGGCCCTAAAATGGAATAAAGTGATTACACCCTGGGCGCATTTGTTGATCTAAACAAAATGTACAAATGTTGATATGTAAAACGTGCAGGCCAATTATGTCGGCTTTTCGTATCAGCATTTGTGTACTTACATGCCTGTACTTCTAGAATATTTTTTTAAAATAAATAAAAAAAATAAATGAGATAGAGCGCTTACACAAATCTTGAGAAACAGGACCTTAGATCAAATAATATGTAATGAGCTCTGTAAAATGAGCTAACTTGAGCGTCATGTGTTTAATGTCGATTTACCATGGATTTTGACTTGTGTACTACATTATGGGAAGGATTTTTATTTTTTTTTAAATTGAAAACCATATGACTTGGATTGGAATTAAGCAAACAAAGAATAAACCAATAACTAATCTCTGAGGCAAACATGGTTTTTGTACATCTCTCATTTCAATATTTGCACAATGGGATGTGCAACATTAATACTGTGTAGGGCAGTCACAGTTTATATACACTACACCAACTTTGGAGTATATAGTGAACATATTGAACTGGGGGAGGGGGCTATTGGTACAGATGGTGAATTTAATCCTTCCCGGTAAGGCACTCTATCCATGGGAAGCAGACAGAAAGGTTATCTTCGTTACCCTGTAATCCAATCCCACAAATGATTGGTTGGCATGTGCGACTATGTGGTCAGTTGGTAGGTGATCAATGTAAAACAGTATTTACCTACAAATATGCGTCAGTTTTCCACCCATCAGGTGTTTTTTTTTTTTAATTTTATCTAACCTTTTCTTCTATCAAAGAAGCAAATATTAAAAATCCATTTAGTGGCAATGTAAAAGTGCTACAACACAAAAATTTTGCTATGACATACGATTAGTTGCATATCTTCCCCAGAATGAGACGTTTTGTATAAGCTACACATTTAAAAGAAGCCTATGAACAATGAGGATATTTGCAGGAATGGTTTTAGAATTCTTGAGTATCATTTCTCACAGACAGATGGAATGCGTGGCCCACAGCCATATGCTTTGTACACAAAATGGTTTATCTCCCAGTTTTCCCTAGTTTGAAGTATGACCAATATGTTACAGCAGCAGTAGCGGGTGATGACTGGAGGTCTCTGAACAGAGCAGAACAGGACGAGTGATGCAATAGTCCTTGTGGTTGCCATTTCTCTAGAAAGTGAACTATTCAATGTAACATGTGTTGTGTTATCAGCATGGTTTCTCTGTTTACCACAATCTGGGGTTTTAGTAAAAGCTTGTGTTCTGGCCACACTCTCCAATTATTAACCGATTAGGGTGTGGAGGTAGAGCACATTAAGGAATGGTGTGCCAGAGTTCTTTGGTTTGTTGGGATGGGCCTTTTGATGGAGCCCTAAATTTGTACGTTATATTCACTTTAAAAGAGCCACTATAGTTACCAGAACCACTACAGCTTAATATAGTAGTTTTGGTATACCGGTCCCATTGCTGCCTAGGAACCCCTCCAGTGGCAGTCACTTAGTCGGCAACTAGAGGTGCTTCCTACGTCAGTGCAAAGCATTGGCGTTCAGCGTCTCCACGCTCTGTATGATGCTGAATGTTCCCCATAGAGATGCATTGATTCAGTGCAGTCCTCAACCCTCTCCTGAAGGCACACCTAACCAGTGTAAATTAAGGATTTGAAGAAGGGTAAATAAGATATTTATAATTACAAATTCACTTCAAAGGGGACATGCCTTTATACCTTGGCAAAATAGCAGAGTTTACAATTTACCAATTAAAACACAATTATAAATAAAATCAATGTCTCACCAGATTTAAAACGGAGAAAGAGGTAGATCCTAAAGAAATGATGAAAAGAGGCACTATACAACTGACAGTACCCACTATCATTAGTAGAGCAGGGCACTGCTGTACCTTAAAGCCAATATTCACACAATATTTTAGTGGTACTGTGCAAAAACAAGCTCTTAGTGTGCTGGTCCTATTTCTTTTTTTAAATATTGTGTACATGTTGCTGAATTGTGCTTGTGTTAATTATGGGTGCTGTAGTTGCTTTGTAATGTTCTATTTGTGTGTTCATGAGTAATCTGTGATATTGTATATGACACCTATGAATGTGGGCTGTGTATGCAGGCTGCTTGTGGAATGGTGTGTGTGGATGATAGGTCAACTTGAGTGTGTGTTTAGGGTTGCTTGTGGTATTCCATCCAAGAGGCTGCTTGTGCATGTATGTGGATCGTCAGCGGTGTGTTTGCGTGTGGGCTGTTTGTATTATTTGTAGGGGGCTTATTTGCCAGCTTTGTGTATATCTAGCAGTGTGGGTGCCTTCCCCGGTGTCAAGTGCAAATTCCTGTTGACAAGTGCTGGGAGGAAGTTTTCGGAGATCACTTCCTCTAGTGCTAAAATGTGGATATTGAGGATTGGCCCTCACCACCTGCAATCACTTTGCACTAGCAGATATCTAAAGTTACACTTGAACTCCAGATGGGCCACAGCTTGTTTGGCTCTGGCAGCCCAAGGTGCCATATGTTATGGACCCCTGTACTAAGCAATGGATGTCCTTAACAGTCTGCTCAGTGTGGAGACAGCTTTGGTAGCAATTTAAGTCATACGTACCACATTTTCCTAGTAATAAAACACCATTATGGGGCACAGCCATGGATGAGGTCCCGCCAACTAAAAGTTATCTTTCTAAATAAATCTAAACAAAGAGCAATACCCTTGGTCACAATTGGATTTACTTGCCAGGAGTTGGAGAAGCATATCTTCCCATCTCCCTGTCACAGGACTGCGGCAGTCTTATATGCAGTGAATTAGTCTGCACATCAGCAATGGCTGCTGGTGGCAGGAAAAGATCTCCTACATGTGCTGCAAAAGGCAGCAGGCAGCCTGGGACATAGTGGCAGAGCAGAATGGGGTTGCAAGCTGCTTGGTAGCAAAAAAAAGTATTAGGAAATATAATGCCATCTTGGAGTTATAGGCATATTTAAGCCACTCAACCCATACAGGGGCATTGTTAATGGAGGGCTGCGGTTAACTTAAGTGGCACCCCCTGATTAGTTTGGATCTATCATCGCTTGTTCCTGCTGCCATAAAGATTTTAAGTAGTTGGAGGCCTGTACGTTTTTTTTTTTTTTTTTTACTATCTCTCTGGCATATGGCTGAGACACAAGTAAGTTGTGGAGGTTTATGGAATATTTAGGTTTGCATTCTCTTGCTCAATGTGCAGCCTAGGAAATTGTTAAGTTAAAAACGTATAAGTACATCTGTCACTACGTGTCTGTATTTGTAGGTCCATGAGTACATCTCTGTATGTGTACCTGTATGTGAGAACATGAGCCGGGATGAAATGGGACAAAGATTCAGCCTGGGCATTTTTTTTTTTATCAATTCTTTATTTTTGCATTGACAGACATTGAAGGTGAGAGCATTTTTGGCTTACGCAGAAGCCCATCTTTCAAATATGCTTTAGTCATGTTACAGAAAGAAAATCTGGGTTGTTAGCATACATAATATACATTTTAGACATGTTGCATGTGGGTTGCGCAAAGGCTGTTGTCATTTAGCTTTCGCCTGTCAAAGGTTTTTATTTATTCGTTGTATGCACAAAGAAAAACATATATACAAGAAAAAACAATCAAGTGAAAGTAAGCGTTAAATCCTAAAACTGCACGAGTGAGTAGCTGTCTGTGAGTGGGTGCTCATTTGTCTTATGATTTTTCATCATATTGTTCCCAAAGGGCCCATACCTTTTGAAATGTGGTGGTAGTGTTCCGAACGGTAGCTGTCATCTTGTCCATTAAGTAATTATCTCTGATTTTGGTAATTACTAGAGATAGTGGGGGTGTCTCTGGTTTTATCCAGTATTGTGCCAGTGCCCTGCGAGCTGCTAGATTGAGCATATTCAGAAGTTTTTGGTCGTGTTTGTCTAGTCCGTTTGTCGGTCGTGACAATAGACATGCCCAGGGGTCCAGTGTTATTTGTCGGTGTAGGATTTTAGTGTGCATGGCCACTATTTTTTACCAAAACTCTTTTACTTTGGTGCACTGCCACCACATGTGGATGTAAGTGCCTTTTTCTCCACATAGTCGCCAACAGGTATCGGTGGGGCAGAGTTGCATGTGTTGTTGCTTGACTGGTGTATACCACCGAAGCATTATTTTATATGATTGTTCCATGCAGGGTCGTGCATATAGACACTTTTGTGTTCGCCTCCCATATGTCTTGCCACTCCGTCCCCTCTAGTGTTTCACCCAGATCCGCTTCCCATTTGTCTGTGTATGTCTGCGGGCCCCACGTGCCTGATTCTAGGCATATGTGGTTGTAGAGCAGAGAGATTAGTTTCGCTGGCATGCTTTCTTTTAGGCAGATTTGCTCAAAGAAGGTAAGAGGCTTGGCATTTGCCATTTTGACCTCATTGGTTTGCGCAAAGTCCCGTAATTGTATATATCGGAAGAAGTCGCGGGTTTGTAATGGGGCTAAGGTTTGTAAGTGTTGGTATGTTACTAGTTGGTTATCTACGTATAGGTGGATATAGCGTTGTAGGTTCGTGGCTTCGATGCCTTTAAAATCTCGTGCCCTTAGGCCCGGTGGGAATGCTCTGTTACGTAGTACTGGGGTCATTGGGGACGGGAGGTGTGTGAGTTTGAATTTCTGCGCGATCTGGTTCAGCCTGGGCATTTTAAGGCACAGCAGCCCAATAGGTAGGGGCACTGGCAACATTATTGGCATGCACCCAAGAGTGGCTGTGCTTGTTCGATGTCACTCTATGGCAGCCCATTTGCAGAGCCCTGCGGAAGACCTGTGTTTAACACAGTGCATGCAATCTTAATAATGTTTGTTCGGTGTTTGCTGGTGACTTGTCTCTGATTTCATTAAACATGGGACACCAGAGGGAAAGTGTTAAAAGTGTGCGTTTGTGTGGGAAAAAGACTGTATGTGGTATAGATTGCTTGTGGTGTTATGTGTAAGAGTAGACAACTTGTGGTGTGAATGGGGCTGTCTAGTACGTGTCTAGATAGTGGCAGTAGTGTGTTTGTGGACAGGGATTACAAATTGTGTGTGTAGAGGTAATAGAGACTGTGTTGGAGAGGGGGGTATACAGGCTGTGTGTGGTGGGTGAATATGTGTTGTACCGTGTCGATGGGCGATAGGTGCTTTACTATAGGGCTGTAAGTGTTATAATATATATTTATTTATAGTGAACCTATAGATTAGGAGAAAAACCTATTTAAAAACATGTTTTAGCAAAACTGGTAGCACAATGTATAGATAAAATATTCTACTCAAACTAATGAGCATGTGTTTTGGGGCATGACCGTTGCCCTTTAAAGGGACACTATAAACACCAACATATGTTGTTTCAGTGTATAGATCATTTTCAGTGTATAGATCATTTTCCTGCAGTCTAATTTTGGTTTAGTGCTTACAGTGTCCCCATATATAAAAAGTTTTATCTACACCATCAGTTGTTTATTTAAAGGACAAGTGCATCCCCTCCCCACCTCAAAAAAAAAAAAAAAAAAAAAATGGAAAGCAAACTCTTTGTATCTGAAATTGTTCCTTAGCTTGGAACAAGTATAAAAATACTCATGTCTCCAATTCCCAGTCCTTGCACATTGTTACCAGGCCATGGAGTTTGTGTTCCCAGTACACTGAAAGGTAGTTTACAGTTTATGCCTGTCCAGACAGCTGGATATAACCTACAAACCAGAATCCTACCAATAAACTAGGACTTGCTATGATAATAAAACAGCTGTGCCGATACCTCAATACCAACAGAAATTGTTGTTTCCCTGGACTCAAACCATTGATAGTACCCCCTCGTAGAAACCCTATAGAGGTTACACTGTGTACAGCCAGATGCCATGCAAAATGTATACAGACAAAGAAAGCTACATTGTCTCTCTGACATCATACAGTTGGGTGATGTGGGCAACTATGGCAAATTAATGGGACACTATAGTCACCAGAACAACTACAGCTTATTGTATTTGTTCTGGTGAGTATAATCAGTCCCTCCTGGCTTTTTGCAGAAAACAGTCTTTTCAGCGAAACTGTAGTGTTTACATTACAGCCCTGGATACCTCCACTGGCCACTCCTCATATGGCTACTAGAGGTGCTTCCTGGGGCAGTGACAGTCAGTGTCTCCACACTCTGTATGGAGACACTGAACTTTCCTCATTGAGATGCATTGATTAAATGCATCTATATGAGGAGATGCTGATTGTCCAGGGCTGTGTTTGGCTTGTGCTGGCTCTACCCCTAATCTGCCTCCTTGACAGTCTCAGCCAATCAAATACTTTCCAGTGGGAAGCATTGTGATTGGCTCAGAACAACACATCTGATGATGTCATCCAAGCAGGCAGATCAGAGGCAGTGCCAGCAGCTGCATTCTGGAATAAAATGAAGGTTTTACTATATTTAGGGGAGAGCAGGAAGGCTATATGGTGTTTTTACGACTATGTTTGTGTTGTTGACCCCCTAGTGTTCCTTTAACAGGATTAAGAGACCAGAACAGAGGACTCCTAAAAATATAACAAATGCAATGTGCAAGATTATAGTACTCTTCCTGCTTCCTCAATATAACTTGTTATACATTTAAAGGGTGTTAATACTTTCATCAACTTAGCCAAGTAAACATTAGCATAGTATACAGTAAATGTACCTGAGGCGGTATAACATAATCAGCCACATCCCAGATCCTTGTGCCTAACGCTGAGGTGTTGGTCACTGCTACACCCTTCACTTTCGAAGTCACAGAGCTGACTACTGTGTCAAACTCCTGGTAGCCTTTCTCCCAGACAAAGACCCACCTGTGAATAAATGCAGACAAGAAAGTTAAACGTGTGTTTATAATATTGGACTGATATATATATTTTGGAATGTCACTAGGAAACATCAGGTCTTTAATATTTGCTATTTACAGGATGTTAAAAGGGAAGTTTAGTGTGTGTATACATCACGCCTTAAAAGAAGAAGAAAAAAAAAAAAAAACAAGTCCATCACTCACCATGCTTATCCAGCACTAGCAGAGAGAATGTTCATAATATTAGACTGAATTCCTATTGACTGCCCTTTAATCTACATTGGACTGAAATTCCCATAATGCTCCATCATCATCTTTATTAAAAATACACAGCAAACATATTATAGTTATCTGTGCCTGGAAATGCAAAAAAGTCCTTCCCATGAATTAGTTAATGTATACGTGGGTCAGCTTTGCTAATTTACCACCAGCACATCCTTGAGGATACTTAAATCACAAGCATGTTTGATAATGAAAGAGTTTCTACAACTCAAGGGAATAAAAAGCTCAACCCTTAGGTACTGGGATTTTTAAATATAATATTTATTAATTCCCTACATTTAAAGATATTTGTTTGCAAGGTATGAGAAATAAAATTAAATGTAGATGTTGCAGGAAGTGCCTTAATATTGGCTTCCTAGAGCTGAGCTTTGCACCTGCTTGATACATTTCCCCCTGTGTTTCCTTCCTCTCCTGCTCTCTCTAAGCTGACAAAATGTGGTTTTAAACCTGGTGAAAAGATGTAAGAGAAGGAATCACTAATGGAATCTACCTGCTGGTTCCGCTGGGTTTCCATGGCGACTGCCCCACATTTAGTACAATGCACAAGTTTTTAAGAATAGGACACTTTAATAAACCTTCCCCAATGTTTTGGTTTCTCCTCCTCATTTGCAATTTTTGCCATTGGTGATGTTATTATTCAATGGTGCAGTTCCCTTTTTGTGCCATAACGTGACATTATTCAATAGTGCAGTTCCCAGAGAGGAGACTGTTCCCATTTAATGCTACAACACTTCACTTTTCCCCTAAGCAGCTAAAATTCAGTATGTTTAAGATAAAAACAGTTAGGTTAGGAATACAGCAGTACGGTATATTTTAAACCAGCCATTTTAGTCTTAAGGGTGCGTTTTTGTTAATGCACTATATTCACTCTTGAGTTAATCAAACCCTTCCACACAGCAACATATCTATGTGGCATTACTTAGCTGCTATCCAGGTAGTTATTGGACAATGAATCCAGTTCAAACACTTCTACAAGCAGATTAGATCTAGGGCAAAATTGACATTGCATTCACTGTACAGAGTCATTTCTCCTAGGGCAGGTACAAAGAGCAGACTGGCATCACTGGAGTAATACTTAACATATGGCAAGATAGCAAACTCATCACGTTTAACACAAGGCACTATTTCACAGTTTACAAGAACCCCAATAATAAGAGATTATACAAGCTGTTCATCTTAATTTACAGAGACATATTTAATGCTGGAATATGGTTTCTTAAGTACTAATAAGGATGGTATGCTGCCCCCACCCAAAAACAAATAAAGGCCCCTATACAACAATATTTCCCTCAACGGGTAATAATAATTTAGAGTACAGAATTTTAGTTGAGAATACATCAGAACTTTTTATATGTCATTTTATCCTTAATTGTGCATATTTCGGGGGAGATTTATCAAATGTGCCAATTTGGGTGCAAAGTGATAAATATGGACAGACATTCTATTGGTTTCCACGGTGATGGATCCGTTGCCCCAGAACTGCACTTGCTTTTGTCTTGACGAACCTCACTTCTATAATTTTCAACTCACTATAATGAAGGGTTTAGTTAATCTGCAAAGTAGTAGTAAAATGATACACACACACACAACTGATTTAAACTCCTACAACCCACAGCAGGTGCTGAGCTAGGGTGAATTGACTGTACACAGTAAGGTCTCCCTGGGCAGGTACCGAGAGCAGATTGAGGGCATTACAGTAAGCCAGATACCTGTACACATATGGCAAATTTAACAACCGTGAGATTGGAGAAATACCACGCGCAGAGTGGTTTCGATTCTGAATACATCTCCATTAGACAAAGTTTTATGTATCAGAAATTCAGAATCATTAGAGAGAACAAGCCACGTGAATGGATCAACTGCCACCTCTGCCAATTAAATAATAAATATATGAACATGATTACTGTAAGCAGCAGTGTCACAAGGTAAATGGAATAGAACGTTAACAGATACAATGTGTCATTCCATACCCAATCACATAGGCGAGAATTCCCAGCTGGATGAGCCTGTTCATGACACCAACCTTCCTGCTCTTGATGAGCGCTATACGCGGGGTGCTGTAATCAAAGATACAGCTGTACAGCTCCCGGCAGAACCCCCTGCTCGCCATGGCTCCACTGGGCTCCAGGTACCAACCACGGGGAATCCTGAACTGCTCAGATCATATGACCTGTCTGCCTGCTGGGAATAAGACCGGATAAGCCTGGGAGGGGCAAAATGTGTCCAGTCAGCGCCACCTAACGGTCACTATTAAACGGAACAAGGAAAAGTCACAAAAGGATTATAAAGTTCAAAAAACCTGTTTAGGTTAATCTTTTAACCTATGTCAAAAGAAAATAGAGAGAGTACCTATCAATACAGAACAAAGAAAGAAAGGAAACCGTCAGAGAGCTTTGGCGAAACGCGCGCGTCAGGGGACTCTGGTGCTACTCTATCGCCTTCATTTATCATATTTTTTCATATTTTGTATTTTCTTCTTTTTTCTGCTGTCTCATTTAGGAGATTACGAGTGGGGGTTAGTCCTGGTGCCCATGAAGGCACATGGGGGGCTCTTAGGTTATAGGACGCTATCTATTCTCACCAGTTTTCTGCTTATTCTTTTTTCTTTCTTTTTTGGTAATTAGTATTATACTTATTTAATATGGCATTACATGCTGTTATTTCTAATACTTTAGCAGGAGCTTTTATCATTATTTAGGCTTTCTGCCAGTACTTTTTTCTGTTCTCATTACCATTTAGCAAACGCTACTATGGACTATCCAGTACTTCACAGCTGTTAGTATCTATTACTTGATAACTTTGTTAACATCTGTGTTCACTATATATTGCTTACTATTTCAACAACGTTAGTTTTGGCGCTGTATGCAGAACGAGACGCTGCATTCCAATTTTATCACATGACAGGAGGCTTCGTATTTTGCATAATCTTTCTTTACTATCTCCATAGCAGCAAAGAAAAGAGTGACAAAACTTTTAACCAATCACAACGTAGAATAGGGTATAAGAGGTGAGACCTATGACATCATTTCCTCTTTCTTTGCTGCTCCATCACAAGTTAAGTACCAAATTTTGTGTTATCTTTTCTACATACACTTATTCATTTACACCTTTTGTTCTATCACTGTACCTTTATATTTTCTGTACCTTTATATTTTTGCCCTATTACTGCTCTTAACCTATCTGTATACCAGGGGACCTTGTCTGGCTCCCTAGCTGTCTTTCACGGCTTTCCCGCCATCTGTACTTTCCCTCCATATTCTCTGTTTCTTTTAACAGCTCTTTTTCTGTTGTTTCTACCGAACGCTTTATTCGGTAGGTTAGCGCATTCGCCCGTTTGACTCGAATGCCCACGGTCTTTTCTGTGCGACCGCACATTGACTATTCGTTTCTTTCAACCGAACGCTTCGTTCGGCAGTTTGACGCGATCGCCTTTTAGCGTTCGCATCTACTTCTATTCGCACGTTCGGCAGTTCGCATAGATCTTCTATTCACGTTCGGCAGTTTTATGCGAATGGCAAGCTGACAGTTTGCCGCCCAAACTGGAGGGAGGTACTATCCTCCACACACTAAGCCTGTCAGTCCGGCGGCCATCTTAAAGAGATAGACACTGCCTGATTTTCTGCTCCTGCTAATCCGGCAAGCAATTCAAAAGCTTTAACCCTTTTCACTCAGTGGGACCAGGTTAGTGCCTTACACTTGGGGTTGGTTTAGCCAGTTGGTCTGCACCTTATTCTGGCCGGGGTGAGCCCCCATTTTACGCTGCTAAACGGTCCTGTTCATGCAGGTTCCGATCACCTGGGTGAGCCCCAGAGAATCAGCCCTCTCCTCTTCCTACGACCTACCGGTCTCTAACCACAGGTTATTTAGTCCTGTTACCATACCACCCCGGTCCCCAGGCCTCTCCACTAATCGTGCCTAGTGCCCTCACGCAATTTACCGGGTGAGCCCCGAATCCTCATTCCTTATAATGGAGGAATCACAAACCCCAGACCTCCAGGCCATGATAACAGCAGCCGTGGCTGCAGCCATGGAACAAACCGCTTCCAAGTCGCTCCAAACAGACTCTGAAGTCCCCAGGCCCATCTCTAAACGGGTTCATTATAAGGCGGACTCCGAAGACTCCGATTCTTCCAGGGAACACTCCCAACGGCGTAAACGCCATTGGAAGGGCAATGTAACCCCACGCAAGGCTAAAGGGAAAGCCCCTGCTGATCGCAGGAAAGCCACGGTTCGTGCTACCCACGATGCCACACAACTTTCCTCAGGTGAGGAAGATGTAGAACCCACTCAGGCACTAGCTGTGCTGGATGAATGGCAGGCGGCAGCCTCTGACCAGGGGGACTCCGACAGGGATTCCACGGCCAACTCTGACCCTTACTTCATAAGGGAACAGGGTCTGGGTGAGCCCCAGGACTCCATGGCAACATCCATGGATAACCCACAGGAGGGCTCGGAGATTTTCCTCGACAATTCGGGCCTCCAAATGTTCGACCCAAGAAACATCCGGCACCCCCGTTCGGAAGAATGGTCAACACCTGAGCATTTGGCAAGGTTTATGCACTTCTGGCTCAGAAAACCGCTGGACAAGGAAGTAAGAAACCGGATGAGATCCGAATGCCCTCGCCCTAGTCTACCGGACAAAGTGACGCACACCCCCGAGTTTGACCCGCTCATGACTACGTTCATGTCCCGAGGGGGTCGGGATCCGCGCAAGGGCATAGAGCGCGGCTTTAAAGGAGCGCAAGACAAGCTGATGCCATTGGGCCACTAGCCAGAATCATGGACATGGCGGATGAAGCCCATGAGAGGGCTGACACTTTTACCCCAGATACGGTGCGTGAATGGGCACGAGATACTCGGGAATGGGCACAAAGATGTTTCTGTTTCCTAGGGAACACCAACGTAGCCCTCTCTTCGGAGAGGCGCCGAGCAGCGCTTTACCGTATCGACGAAAAATTGGTCGAACTGGGGGACAAGGAACTAGGACCCTTAGCACAGGGTAAATTATTTGGAGAGGCCTTCCTTAAGGAATTAAATAAAAGGGTCAACATATTCACGTCCCTTAACAAGGCACAATCTTCCATGCGGAAAGTCTTCCGCGGTTCCCACACCCGTGGTGTTTTTGGAAGGGCTGGACGGCAGAGGGGCCGTGCCGCCAGCCATTTTTGGCCATCCGGCCCCCGTACAACAAGGACTCAGCAGATGTTCTACCCAGACTCATCTAGTCGAAATAGATTCCACCAATTCAGGGGATCTGATCGTGGCCGAGGCACCCGAGGACGTTCACGAGCAAGATTCTCCAACGGTAAGTCGGAATCTTACTCTTCCTCTTACCCCCTGTCATATCGCAGGTCGTGTTTCTCTTTTTTTCCAGAACTGGAAAGAACTATCTTCAGATGCGTGGATAATCCAAACGGTGCAGGGCTATCGAATAGAGTTCGACTCGACCCCGCTGCAGCTGGCCCCTCCACGTCCAATCCAGACTACACGGGCAGATGCCCGCCTCATAGACGCGGAACTCCGAGAACTCCGCTCCAAGGGTGCCATCCAACCGGCTCCGGATGCCACCGGTTTCTACAGCAATATCTTCCTGGTCAGGAAGAAAACAGGCGAATTTCGCCCCGTTATCAATCTCAGGGAGCTCAATTCGCACGTGGTATATCGACATTTCAAAATGGAAGGTATACATCTCCTCCGGGACTTGCTTCGACGCGACGACTGGTTCACTCGTCTGGACCTCAAAGATGCGTACCTTACCATTCCGGTACACAGAAGCAGCCGTCCCTACCTCCGCTTCTTCTGGCACGGGATCCCCTGGCAGTTCACCTGTCTCCCGTTTGGCCTCAGCTCGGCCCCGTGGTGTTTTACCAAGATTATGAAGCCGGTAGTGGCAAAAATCAGATCCCAAGGCATAAGATGCATCATCTACCTCGACGATATCCTGATCTTCGACGAGGATGCAGACACTCTGCGGAGACATACGGAATACGCACTACACCTTTTGGACTCTCTGGGTTTCGTCGTCAACCGTCCCAAGTCCGCATTGACCCCGGCTCAATCAGTTCAATTCCTCGGATTCGTAATAGACTCCACATCATGCACTCTTCACCTCCCGGCTACCAAAATTACTGCAATCCGCAGGGAGATCCGGAAAGTCCTTCGTCGGACTACCATACCCCTACGATTACTGGCACGGATCGTAGGCCTTCTCTCCGCGTCCATCCAGGCCATTTTTCCCGGGCCCCTGCACTACAGGGCCATGCAACGCCTCAAGGCAAGTTTCCTTCGCAGACAACCGACATACGACCAACCGGTTCCAATGTCGGTCGAAGTTCGGGAAGAACTACACTGGTGGCTGAATTGCATGCAGGCTTGGAATGGCAGGGCCATATTCGGGAACCAGCCAGACTTCGTGCTGGAATCGGATGCCAGCCGTTCAGGCTGGGGGGCAACAGACGGAACCACGTCCACAGGAGGAGTCTGGACTTCCGAAGAGCTCTCGATGCACATAAATTGCCTGGAACTCTTGGCCGGGTCCTTCGCCATTCGCAGCCTGGCAAAGGACCGATCCAACTGCTGCATCCTACGCCGCATGGACAACGTCTCAGCGGTCAGATACATCAACCGCCTTGGAGGCACTCGTTCTCGAACACTGGCGGATCTCATGAAAGAGATCTTCGACTATTGCCTACCACGCAACATCACCTTGCTGGCAGAGCACTTACCAGGAGACTCCAATACGACGGCGGATTGGTACTCACGCCACTGGCGGGATGCCAGGGATTGGCAGCTGGACACTCATATTTTCGCGCTACTGGATGCACAGAGGGGACATCTCTACATAGACCTTTTCGCGTCCCGCAACAATCGACAGACAGAGGTTTTCTTCAGCTGGCTCCCAGACCCGGAGAGCCTCGCAACGGACGCTTTTCTCCAACAATGGCCAAGGGACGGCGCCTACGCATTCCCTCCTTTCGCAATGATAACGAGGGTCCTTCACCGGATCCGTCTACAGGGAGTGAGAATAATTCTCATCACGCCGCTCTGGCAGAGCCAGCCATGGTTTCCGGACCTTCTGGAACTCTCAATCAACGATCCCCTCCTCCTACCAGATGCCCCAACCATCCTCAGGAATCCATTGGGCCTACCTCACCCACTAGTCCTGCAGGAACGCTTGCCCCTTGTGGCCTGGACTCTTTCCGGGGTTCCTGGAGAACCGAAGAATTATCGCAGGAAA